AGCCATATGCATTCTTTTCTCACTTACTTACTTCACAGTAAATCTAGACCTTTCTCATTAATTCAGTCAAAACTGAGACCACGACTCCACAAGATGGTAAATATAGTTTTGGAGAATTCAGCAATAGGTCAGAAATAACATACTCAGGTGACACAAAGCATTCAGCTAATACAAATTCACTAGGTAGAAGCATATTTGTTTAAAAAATGTGAGGCGGCCTTTTTTGCTTTGCCAACAAAGGCATAATCTATTCTCCTGCAGCCAACATAAAACTAGCAACCATTTTTGTTTTCTGATTAATTACAGAAAATTGTGATTGTTTAGTTATGCTCAATCCAGATAAAATATACTGCCGGGTGATCTACAGCCCTGGAGGAAACAACCATTTCAGCCCTCACTTCTTTTATTTCACACATCTCCTTGCAAGCTGGTGTGATAAAACCTCTGAGAGGGACATCATAACAATGGTTTCTCCAGATCCTACCTTATCAGAAGTCACCAAAAATAAGCAAAAAATTGCCAAAACAAACACCAAAGTAAAGAAGACTATGAAGACCCTTCACCTTTCCTCACCACTTCCTAAATTTAGGAGTTACTGATCTTGTAAAAGTAATAGAGCAGTCAAAGTTCTCAATTCCTATCAAGCAGTTTTCTGATATCCTGAAGTATATGACTGGAATCTTTCTTGTGTAATTACTTAATAGCCACATCTAGTCTAACCTGGTCACCAAGAGTGTCTCTAGAGTCAGTAGAAAGAAACAGGTACCTCCAAAGGGCAATCCACCCTGCAGACACTTCTTTTAGGATAGGACAAATCACCCGCTGGTTGTGCCTTTCTCTCATCACTCGCATTAGAGGGAATTAATATGGTTTGCTTGAGTGGATATCTTGTTCCTGGATGACTCAAGTTTGGTAATATGGATCCCAGTTTTTGTACCTAAAGGCTATGGAGATTAATGTTGGTAAAGCAGAAAACAACATGTAGACTTCACTGTGTTTCAAGTATCTAGAAGGCCTAGACTGCCTATTTTTCCCCAGCACACACAGGATAACTGCTAGGCCCTAATAAATGAAAACTTTATGACAAAGCCATCCCACTCACTCTTTTCCTCCCCTCCACACCCTTCACAAAAACCTTACACAGATTTAGGTAGTGCTCTGCTTAAGGAAACAAATGCTAAAAGATGCTGAATACCTGCAACTTTGATACAACTCATCAGGTTAAAATCTGAGATCCTTATACTGTTTATTCATGCAAATTCTAGTGTGCCATATGCTGAGGAGTGCTGAATGGCTGCTCAGTGGGAGTTGTGGTTGCTCAGCACCTCCAAAGAATTGGCATGTAAACTCCAGCCTGGACTTTGCTTATGGGAAAAACAAATCCAATCATCAGTCATGCGGGGTGTGCTTCCCTCCCCGCTTCATGAGCTGGCCTGGTGAAAATGCCTGGCGCTTATTAAAAGCATCATCTGATGTCACTCAACACCACAGGGGAAAATATAAATCAAAGTGTAAGTATTCAGCACTCTCTCAGCATTGGCCTAATGTGATTAATGTAATCTGAGGTAAACACTTTAGTTATTCCTTATTACTGTTAGGGACCCAAATCAAGGGTTGGGACTTGTTATTCTAGGTAATGTGAAAAACAAGCCCTACCCATGAGATCGCCAAGACTAAGATAAAGCTCAGGTAGAAGCTTGACAGCAGTTACCTAATAGCAATGGACGGACACAATGAAGCATTGAATCTGAACCGTCTGAAGGGCATGTGGCAAGGGCTGTGACGTGCTCAGCAGACAGCTTTTCTCTGGCAGCAGAGTAGGTCTGTGGTAACAAGGAGACCAAGGTGATTCGGGATGAGATTGGAAGGACCTACAGAGGGGTCGGATGCTCAAATCCCATTGACACTGAGGAGACCTGCTTCTGCTTTCTACCTTTCAGAATCACTTCCTGGTTCAAAAAAAGTTGTTTTCTGTAAAAGTCTACAGCTGAAATCTTTGTCTCAGACAATCCCAGCACACTGTATAACTCTGAGTTGTGTGGCCTGCTGTTGGAAGGGGGGAGTGGACTTAATAATGTGGACAGAGTTGCTCCTGGCACCTTTTGATGGTCTCTTGCCTCCCACGAGGATAGCATACCTCAGTCATTGTATGACTCAGAGCACAAATACTACAGTGTCACAGGTGTGAAAACACAAGTCTAAAAGCCAAGGAATGGCTCTATTGTCAGTTTTGTGCTTGCTTCACTCCCAGCTGGGTGTGATGGCAAATGATTGCTCTTGGAAAGGCACATTGAGGTATTGCAGACTGGCAGCCTGCTGAGCCCAGCGAGGTGCAGGGGGTAAATGCTTCATCCAGCCAAACCCAGTGGGAATCTGTTGGAGCTCTGACATTGTTTTGCTGACACAGGAAGATGTCATCACAGCAGAATATGAAGGAGTTAACACATTACGAAATACAGTTTTGGCAGTGATGCAGACAAAGATTGTTTTGTTTGAAATGCAGTACCAGCAGTGTTGGTTAACAAGGTAATGCAGTCACCTTGCCAGTCTAAGTCATTACATTGTGGGTTTTTTTCTTCCACCATGTTAGGTCCAAATCCTATGAAACAAGCTGCTTAACTTCAAGCCCATAGATAGTTCTTTGCTTCAAAGTTAACCTTAGTTTAATGTATATTTCTGGATAGTGGCTGGTTGGAATAGCAAGTGGAGGTGCTAAAGGAAGCCCATCTTGCACAGGAAGAGAAATGACAAGGTGCCAGTGTGTTTTTAAGTAAAAAAGAATAAAAACTCAGGAAATTATTTTTTAAACCTCTTGCCACTCCCATTCCTTTGCAGGGTGAGAAGTGAGAAGGGCTGTCCCATGCCTGCTTACACACAGTACTGAGGGCTCAGTGCACAAAATTGCACAACCAATTTCAAAATGACTCTTAGCTAGTCCAGGCACTCCAGCTGTCCTTCCAAAAATAAAAGGCAAAATTTTCAACATCACAGAGGACTAATAAACCACCTACGCTCCTGCATCTACCGAGATCAAGAGAGCACAGAATCCCTTACGACTCAGAAAGTCTAGCCATGTATTTACTGCTGATACCTGACTTTTGTAATCCCGTTGAAAGGTTTGCATTCAGCACTTTCCAGGGCTGAGAGGCAGATCTTCTATAATCGGGACTCAATTAGGTACCTGCCTTTTCAGCTGAAGATCTGGCCCCGTGGGCCCAGTTCTTTACAATACTTTTGCATAAGCTTGGGAGACAATCCTCACCAGCATTCCTGAAAATGGACTTCTGTATTCAAGTGGGCAGCTGTTTCTCCCAGATTTTTCACCAGGCTTGTGCTCTCATTAAAGTATGTGATAAACTTAGCAAGCAAAAGCTATATTCTTCTGCAAGATCCTTGTCCATAAAAATCCTTTCTGAGCCCTGTATTTTGCAGTGAGTAGCAGTGAGTGCCGTGCTTTGAAAATATGAATGTAAGTCAAAGATTAGTCCACATTTCAAATCTTAGAGCAGATTCTTAGATAGTATTTCACTGGAACAAGTGGGGCTATTCCAGTCTAGAGCAACTGAGGATCTGAGTCTAAAAAAAAAAGGAGCTATGAATTCTAATTAGATATAAAGAAAGAAATAGGGAGCTACTTTTTTTCATACCTCCATGCTGTCTTGTTTGTTGGTGTCCTGACACTTAAATAGGTAGTAACTGGAAGGAAGCCCAGTAGCTAAAATATACTTAACATACCACTGGTTCTTACTAATTCCTAAGGTCCACTTTAACATTAAGCACTTACAAAAATGCTTAGGAAAATAATCCATCCCATGCTTCAGTTCCTCACAAGCACCCCTGCTTCATTGTTTCTTCCTGAATATGCCTGTTAGCATCACTGCTTTGGTAACTTTCCATTTTAGGACAATATTATAAAAGATTGAGTCATGTTAAAATTCAGAGGACACTACTCTGGCATTCTCCCTCTATCGAGTAGTATCATGACATCAAATAGTTTTCCTGAGATCATGCTGAAGTTCCCAAAGTAAGGTGAAACCCTGCACAGAGAAGACTGGCAGTATGTCTATTTTAATTTTAAGAATGTATAATAATGTATATGCATATCTAGGAATACAGAGGGAAAAAATTCCTGTATTATTGCAAGTTAAATTTTGGGTTTAATGATGAAGACACATGGCATCCCTTAGCTACCAAATCACCCATTTTTATACATTTTATCTTTAATAGGATTTCTGATACTATGACAAAGCCAGTCTTCATTCTCTGCCAAAAGGGTCTGAAAACACTGGAACTAGTGAAATATTTTGGCATATTATACTGGTCTGTTAAATATTCAGCTAATTTTAAAAATAGTAATAACTCCTGTGATTAGCAGCTACAGCATATCATGTCCAGATTCCTTTTTTTTACTGTAAGCGTAGGATACCTGTGCAAACAAAAGCAGAATTGGGCCTGGGATATAAGCAGAAGCTTATATCTTTGTATTATTTATCTCCTGTTCTCGGGCTGAGTGAAATTGAAGTGAAATAAATATTAAAAGACTTTAACAAAAAAAAACCCAAAACACATCCAAGGCAGATTTCATGACAGCAGAACAAGTATCATTTTGAGTGGCAATGCACTGACAATAACTTTTGGCTTTGGTCCACATCAATCTGGAGGCCCAGCTACACAAGCCAAGCTGGCTCAGGATCCCTTCTAAACAGGCAGTTATCACCTTCAGTGCAATAGTATTCCAGAGGTCCAAATCAGGACTAAGCCTTTTGCACAGGTGCAACACGCTCACCCGGCATAATCCTTCCTCTGCCGTTGTCCGTGGCAAAAGTCCCTCTGACTTCTCTGGCGTTAGAAGTCTGGCTGGCCTCCCCAAATTTTCATGCTCCCTGCCTTTTCCCCTCTTTCCCCCTTCATTCTGTTTTTCTGCGTGTTGTGAAATCTTGAGGATTTTAATACAATTCATCTTTGCCTCTTCCATTTGTCAACCTTTCCTTCCTTTACAGACTGGTTCTGAACCATCCCCTCAAGGACGAGTGGAGGAAACTCCCGTGAGCAATGAGAGGGGTGACGAGCCGGCTCGTCATATCTTCTCCTTCTCCTGGTTGAACTCACTGAATGAATGATGACTCACTCCAGCTGGCTTCTGGTGTGCTTCTCCTCGGAGGGACCGCGAGTGCAGGCAGCCTGGCTGCAGTCAACAAAGAAACTGGCCTGGAAAGGGACATCCGAGCAGGTTTCATTCCCAGGAACTCAGTTGACCTCCACATCGTACCCAGCCCTTGAAATGACAGTCCTGAGAGGGATGGGAGCATGGGGACAAATTACTATACTGTATTGTAGTCAGAGTGTTTTCCAGTAATTTCTTGTTTCCAAGGGGAAAATAGCATCACTACAGCTGTAGGCTGAGCACTGCTCGTGTTTTGTTACTCACTTTTTGGCACGTCCCCGTGTAGGTGTAAATGCTTCACCGATGTTGTTAGCTAAAATGCTGGTATGATATTCACTAGTAGCATCCTTTGCCAAAACATCGTTTCTCCTCAGTACCCTGCTGCGTCCCTGCTCATCAGTGCTGGTGACTTCAGTGACACTATTGCACCCTTGGCACCCCCAAATCAGGGTTGTGTCTAAGCACCTCCCTGCAGTCACTTGTAGCCCCCCCGGTACCAGTGCCTCCCCAGCGGCAGAGGCTGAACACAGGAGGGCAGAGGGAAGCTGCCATTTCTTCTTTTGCACTTGCCCTTCCTGCTAAGCCACAACAGATGACGCTCACATAAACAAGTTATTTGTAGGGAAGGTGCCCAGCGGCAGGGATGAGGAAGGTGCACACGCCGAAAGCACTGGCCAAGGCTCCGTGCATGGGTGCAGGACACAGATCTGAGTGTGTGGAGCAGGCACTAGAATGCTGCCCACGTCTTGTCCAGCCGGAATCTGTGTCTACGTCTTCTCAGTCATCCGTGTGTGTAAGAAAAGGGGCATGTTCTTGCATGAAACCAGAATGCGGTGAGGGTTTAATTTGAAGGCCCCGTGGTGTGCTGTAGAAAAGGCGAATGCAGAATGTCCTGATCCGTGTGCATGTCAGATGTTGAGCCGTCTAATGAAATCAGATTTGTGTCTTAAAAGAAGCTCTACAAGTTGTACCGAAGGTGACACTCTGCAAGTTTTGCCACTGGGGACAGGGTGTCAGCACTCGGTAGTGTTTAAGAGAGATTGGCAGGTTGCCGGGAGTGCTCGGTGCCATCGGGGACCAGGTGCCAAACTCTGCACTAGGGTTAAGTGTGGATCTTTCCAGGAGCCCCGAGCCAGGCCCTAAACACACTGCTTTGGCAGGGGATTGTGTCGGGCCATAGGTCTGCCCTGCGCCCCAGCAGGACTGGTGAGCTGGCAGTGCAGACGGTGAGGGGTCAGCCCCAGTCCCGGCCACCCCTCGCTACAGGGCTGAGACATCAATCCTCACTTGTCTCTGTTTCCCCTGGAAAACGCTCCTGCGGCAGAAGTTTTGGAGGGCTGCATCGGCCGAGCTCCGGGCAGAGCTTTGAGATTCGCACAGCCCAGAGCGAGCATCGCTCTGCACCACCACCGCCGCCACGTCGCCTCCGGCTGCGGGAGCAGCTTCCCTGGGATTTGGTTCAGAGTGAGGGATTTCCGATTTTCTCCCGGTCGCCCTGAAGGATTTCCCCCAGTTCCTCCCGGGAAGTTTCTCTACACGCACCGCCACCTCCCCAGTGCCCCTGGGAGGGGCCCGGCTTGGGCACGGCCGCCGGGACAGCGGGGCAGCCGAAGCGGGGAGGAACCTGCCCTTTTGGGGTGCGGGGAGGACGAGCAGAGCTAGAAGGAAAACACAAAAGAGATGCCGGAGCGCCTCACCCCTTTCCCACCGCTGCGCCCTGGCAGGAGGAGGCTGCGCAGCCCCGGCCGCAGCGGCAGGAGCCGGGGAGCCCCCTCGGGGTGCTGCTGAGGTGGGAGTCTGCAGGGCTGGGGGCCACCCACCCTGACACCCACCCACCCCCCCCCCCCGTTCTTTCCCTCCGTCCCCCGGAGCAGCCTGTGCCGAGGGCGGCGGAGGGAGGCAGCCCCTGGCCGGGCGGCACGTCGGGGCGTGCCTCTGGGAGATCCCGCAAGGACGGGGGCTCCCCGGGGCGGGGAGGGGAAAAACATCCCCGGGGGTGACTTAGGGGTCCCTGCGGCTCTGGGGGTCCGCAGCCGTGGGTGCCCCTCCTCCCCCCACCCCGGTAAGCGCTGAGGGAGGAGGAGCAGCCCTCAGGCATCTAGGCAAGAAAGTCTATCAAGCCATCTTTACTTTGCAGCTTTTATTAAAAATATAAATATTAAACATTCTCTTACACAACAAAATCGACCGAGCGCTGAAAAGATGTTTTATTGTGAAAATGTTTACAGGAAAAAAAGTGGATTTAAAGTAGCTTACAGAGATTCCCCCTCCCACCTCCCTGCCCCCAGCAGAAAAGTTATCTGTCTTCTTGGCACCATTTCTTCCAATGCTCACACATCCCTACGTAGCGATGGCACTAGAATAACTGGGAAATGGAGAAATAAATAAAGGTAGGGGAGGTTACGAACGACACTCGTGTTTCTGCACTTGGTACACGGTTGTGCATGCTAGTCAAGGGACAGAGGCTGTTCGGAGTACACCCTTCTAGGTTTAAAGCTATATAAAAATAAAGAGATGACATCAGAGCAGCACTATGGTACTTCGGACGGTGTAATTATTCTTGTGCTAACTGCGGAATCTCTTTGGCAAGGCGGGGAGGGGCCGTTTCATTTCCCGATTATCTCCATCAGTTTCCTGTTGCTGTGAGCTTGCTGCGCTAACTGCTCGGCTCGGGCCATCTCCAAGACTTCTCGCAGGAGGTGGAAAGTCAGATCCAGAGAAATAGGGGGCTCCTCGGATCGCTTCTCCCTCTCCACGGCCTCCCCCTCGGCTTCGCCCTCCTCGGGGCTCCCCAGCGAGCTCTCGGGCAGCTGCTGCAGCTGTTGCACCGCCGCCCGGAAAAAGTTGCTGGCGGAGGCTTCGGGCTGTAGGTGGCTGGTGCTGCTGGGAGAGGCGGAGAAAGAGCCGACGGGTCTCTTGTTGAGGTTGCCCAGGCGCAGGAAATACTCTTCTCCCATGCGGAGCAGGACGGGCAGAGTTTGCTGCTGCTGCTGCTGCTGCTGCTGCTGGAAGAAATCTGGCTGGTGCAGAGCCCCGTGGGCGGCTACCGGGCTCTTGCTGAGAGCTCTGCACTCCTGGCAGGGCAGGAGGGCGACCAGCAGGATTCCCGTGGAGACCAGCAGCGGGATCTTCATGGTCGGGGCCCAAACCTGCGGGGGCAGACGGGGGACGGGGGACGGGG